TTCAATGTTGATGATTAAGGAGAGAGAAAATCACTCGATATTGATATCAAAGAAATATCTCAGAGAAGAAACCGATGATATGTCTAAGGAGAGAGAGAAGATGAGCAACGAAAATGACTATCTTTTTTTTTCATTTTCCCTAACTGATCCGGTTTTATCTTTAGAAGCAATACTAAAACAAACAAGAATTTAAACTCAAATCTGATTAGATAAACATAACCAAAAGAATAAAAAAATCAGTCAATTTTTTAGACTAAAAAATCGACCAACATAACCAACATGTCCCCTGATACATCCGTCCAACATATCTGACATATCCCCTGATATATCCGATATGAACTCTGAAAATGCAATACACATTGAAAAGCTTCATATCGTGTCGGTTGACCCCTAAATCCGACACGTCGGTCGACATTTAACACACTTTCCTTGCTCCAAACACAACTCTTTCATATCCTTTTCCTCGAGCCCTCCATTAAGCAAGCCACACACAAGGTTATCGATGGCGGATAGCGTTGCATAGCGGTGAGACATTGCTAAGGCTATTTGGGGCTATTGCGGCAAAATAACGATAAAAAATACAAAGTCAAATAGCGATCTAATTTAAATATGTATAAATATTAAAAAAAGATTAACGAAAAATCTAAATATTTTAAAAGTACATATTTGATGATTTAAAGAGATCCTAAATATGAAATAGATATGTAACCATCACGTAATACTGAAGATGAGTGGAAGAGTCAAAAAGTCGTCTTCGAGAAGAAGAGTTGAGCGGTGAGAGACTACCCTAAGAGGATCTTACGGTGAAGGAGGTGAGAGAAAGTACTGAGGTAGGTGTCAGAAACTATGAGAGGTGACGGGGGTATGTCGAAAATCACAGGAGATGATGGAATGCAATGGTCAAGGGTCGAGTTTAATTTTAAAAAATAAACCTCAAACCGCTTTTAAATAGCAGTCAAAAAACGGATTTCGCATGCAATCGCCCATTGTTTACCGTTATGGTACACTATTGACATTTTGCGAACGAAAAGTACATATTTCACAATATGACATCGCTATTAGGCAATAGCGTAGCGGGAAGGGATCGCTAACGCTATTAGCGCCGCTATTGTTGGGCTATTTACCGCTATTTATAACAGTGGCCACACATATCATCAGTTGCCTCATATTGTAACCTTCTCCTCCATCGGGACAACATCAATGTGTTATCACTCATAATTTCTTTGAGAATACCTTGCACGATAGCCATCGTCACTAACATATCACTATTAGCATCAGGAATTTCATGCACCTCAAAAGGAATCTCGATGGTGGCGGAATTTTCCTTTTTTATTGTGTTTGTATATTATTGTTTGTCACTAGAAAGATCTTCTCCTTAGCAATCCCTATCTTGGATGCCTCTGGTTTTATGATCGACATACTTGATGAAGTCTTCTTTGTTGCTTCTTCAATGGTCTTCACAACGATGTTTCTTAGCTCTGCCACAATCATAACTAGTGTGAAAACTCTCCAAAAACATCCATTATGAAGGACCTTTGTTTTTCTGCTCAAGTTCTCCTACACTTTCTTCGCTAGATGGACCATGTCGTCTAAGGTAAAAGAATCTTGCAAAAACAACCGACACTACTTGTAGTTAGAAGACAGAGAACGGTCTCCTAATAATTTCATCCTCCCACATGTTCAAACAGGATCCTTCCGTTGATGATATTGATTTATTAATACTTTATCTCACCATGCAAGTGTTATCCCTTTAAGTTTGTAAACATCTAATTTAACTTTCCAATCTTCTAGGACCATCTCATATTCAAAATATTTATCCACCTCATCAATCCAATCAAGGAAAATAAAATAGACTCCTAATGAGACTAGAATTTTAAAGAAATAGAAAATATCATATCCTACCCTAAAAAGACTCCTTATGATTAAGAAAATCAATTGGTGAAGCCTGTGATCAAACCAAACTTGTTTCCTAACCAAAGCAAGACTCAAATTTATTACTTAAAATAACCTTAAGGCTGATTATTTCTAAAATCCTAAAAAAAATGAATTTTATTAATAGGCTTGTGGAAATCTGCTAAGTCGATTGACTCAGTTCATCGAACTAGACAATTTTCATATATAATATGTTAGAATCCACCTTCCGAATAAGGAAATATTGTCATTTCTATGCGAGCTAGTCAATAATTCATTTGTATTCATATTTGACTCTTGAAGGTCCCACTTCTCCATGAATTTGCTTGTTATGCGTCCAACATCAACAATTAATGGTTATGACGAGATGACTCATTTTGTGATACTAATACCTAATATCATTTCTACACACACACATATACATATGCACATATGTTATACGTATGAAGGACATAGTTCATAACTCAGTACCATTTCCACCTTAGCACTAACTTGTTGTCATCTAAGTAATTCTTTATCCACAGTCATCATAGTTGAACTTCTTAATAGGTTAGAGCAAGATCCTACTTCTCCATGAATTTGCTTCTTATGCGTCCGACATCAACAATTAATGGTTATGAGGTGATGACTCCTTTTGCGATACTAATACCTAATATCATTTCTACACACACATATATACATATGCACATATGTTATACGTATGAAGGACGTAGTTCATAACTTAGTACCATTTCCACCTTGGCACTAACTTGTTGTCATCTAAATAATTCTTTATCCACAGTCATCATAGTTGAACTTCTTAATAGGTTAGAGCAAGATCCATGATTACTTTGTCCATTGGATATTAGTTGCATTTCCAACATGACTTTGTTCTCTACCTGTAGACAAGAATACGATTTTTGGTCTGATGCCTTGGTTTCATTTCTTCTTTTTTTAAGCCTCAAGGCTTGTACATAATCTAATAAGTGGTGAATGATTACACTTAAAAAACTTTGCCCAAAAATGAATATGCAACTGCGAAATTGTAAGCTACTATGAAACGGAAACAAAATAAGCTTAATTGAAATATTCAGCAGACCACCCAACCTCCTACACTAAATCTTCAATAACGATCCTAGTAATCAATGTTACATTAAACGCTGGGCGCTCCTGGGCGCCGGACTTGGCGCCCAGCGCTTAGACGCCTAGGCGGACGCCTAAGCGGTTTCTGGGCGGTTTTTTTCTTCTGGGCGGTTTTTCTTTTTTTAATTGTGATACTTGAAGATAAATATATATACTCAATCAACAATGCATAAATACAAAAATACCAACACAACACATATGCTATCCAAAACAAGAAATATATAAACTCTCACATGTGTAATTTCCCTTACTGTTAACTTATTTTTGTAGGTCAAAAACTGCATTTTCATTCGTTATTGTCGCAACTTCAAAAACCGCAACTAATTATTGTTCTATTTTGTAGGTCAAAAACTGCAACTTCATTCGTTATTTGCTGCAAATCCAAAAGTAGGGAGCATGAATATTATAGTTTCAACACTCAACTCAATACAGATACACAATTATAGCATATACAGTTGTAAGCTTTGAACAAATGCAGAGGATGAACATGACAAAGACAAATGTAAGGAGTATAAGTCTGTTGTGGACCGTGGTGATGCATATTCTGTTGTACTGCACTCAGATACTTTTTCATTTGAAATAGGAAAATTAAACTTAAACAATTAAACAACTAAACTTAAACAATTAAACTAAATATGATATAAATATACTAAGTTAACATGTGATAAATGCATATGACAGTAATAGGAGGCTAGGAGCAGTTAATTTCCTTGAGCAATGCCGATCAAACTAAATATGATATAAATATACTAAGTTAATTTCCTTGAAACATCAACGGATTAAACTTACTATCTCTCTTTAAACTTATTATCCTCACAAGTAATAAGAATCTATCAAACCTGAACCAATCAACAGTTTCAACACAGATTTTGCCTTTTTAAGACTTGAACCCAATAAAAATTATCAACACAGTTACACAAGCCTACAATATCAAATTAATGAGAACCCAAAACTTGAAGACGAGCTCGGAATAAAAAAAAGGAAATTGAAATCGAAATAAAGAGGATTAGAGTTTTACGAAGACGCGAACTGTCGGCTGAAGTCGAACTGTCGAAGACGAAGACGAACCGAAGACGAAGACGAGCTCGGTTGGAGACGAAGACGAGTCGAAGACGAAGACGAGCTCGGTCGGTCGGAAGTCGTCGAGTCGAAGGCGAGCTCGGTCCGAAGTCGTCGAGTCAAAGACGAGCTCGGTTGGAGACGAAGACGAGTCGAAGATCGAAGACGAACTCGGTCCGAAGTCGTCGAGTCGAAGACGAGTCGAAGACGAAGACGAGCTCGGTTGGAGACGAAGACGAGTTGAAGACGAGCTCGGTCCGAAGTCGGTTGGAGACGAAGGTGAGATCAAAGATTAGGGTTTTATTTTTGAGTTTGGGTTTTGGGTATTGGGTATCAGGTTTTGGGTTTTGGGTTAGGCTTTTTTTTTTTGTTCGGGTTTTTGGGAGCGCCCAGCTCAAAATCTGAGATTGGAAAAGTGGGGCGGGCCGCTTAAGCGGCCCGCTTATCCCTGGGCGGCCGCCTAGGCGCTCCCAGCGCCTAGACGTGGCCGCTCAGGGCTAAGCGACACGCTCTGGGCACCGCCTCCGCCTAGACGGGCGCCTAGGCGGCCGCCCAGAGCGTGTTTTACAACACTGCTAGTAATAGTACTTCCTATTAATGATCTCAGTCTATTGTATTAACCAAACCTCTTCGACAATAGACTTCTAGGTTCAGTACAAAATTAGGCTAAACCTCTAGGTTTAATAACAATATTTTGTCAAAACTTTCTCAAAAATTTGGTCTCCCGTTTCTGTCATTCCTCATCAAAATTTTGATCCGGGAATATCAAAAGTTAATGAACATAAAGGACACCCTAGCATAAATCAAACAATGAGTCCCATATAACCAAAATTAAACAAGAAAAATCAATAGCCTTGAATCATATTGCAAAAGTTCTCTTCAGCACCTACTTATCCAAAATAGACCTTTACCAAATCAACGCAAGGAGTTCTCAGCATTTCAAAGTTTGGCTGAAAGTTCCAAGACTTTGGGACTTCTGCTCAGACTGCTCTAGAGGATACAAAATCAAAATTTCCTTAATCTCTCCTGCAGCAGCATTGAACTAAATGAATTACAGTAACAGACCAAGATTGCTCAGAATTTCAACCCAAAACCAAACTTGACATAAACCAAACTAGGCAATCATTTACCAACTCCACATCCCTAATCTAATCAAAATCAGCAAAAACCCTAACACTAGAATCCAAATTCAGCCCCAAAAAAACAAGAATCTGACCTAATTTCCAGCAGTAGAGAGGTTCTCAACGATCTTCTTGTCCCTCCTCTCCATCGCCACATCCCAAACATCGTTCCCAATGTGCTTCGGCTGAAATCAACATCAAAATTCACCAAAAAATTTATCTTTTCCCCCAAAATCAAAAACAAAACCCTAGATTTACCCTTCCATGAGCAGCTCTATGAATGTAGTACTGAGCGTTGCCCATCACGCACAGCATCCCGGCGATGATTCCCAGAGGGAGGAAAGCTTCGACTATGTAAAATTTCCCCATTTTTTGAAGATTAAATTTTATTTTAGGGAAAACGAAGCCAAATTATCCCCGAAAATTTCTGGATCTTTCGTTTTGGAGGATCGTGGACTAGTCGGAATAAAGAGGGTTCAATCGGGGCAGTTTCGTTATTTTTGTGTGTAATAGGGCTGTTTTGGTCAAGTGGATGTTAGCAGGTCGGGCTTGGATAAGGGTGTGAATGGCACCCGGTTAACCGATAACTGGATCTAGGTAAAACCCTACTTTTCTCACCTATGGAGTCTGAAAACCCCTAGAGTTTGGGGGCTTTTTTGCGCAAATCTACGTACACTTTGTAAATTTCAGATAACTCCCTCATCTATTGTTGTCTTGCAATCCCTACAACTGTATCAAAACTCTGAAGTGATGTTGAGGGTCAAAGGGTATTGTTTTATATTCTAACATTTCTCCGTAAGTTAAAGTGTCATTTATATGAGCTTAAATTTTGACTTGCGCAATAGTATCATATTTTTTTATTATAAAACCTGCCCTAAATTCCACCCCCCACCCCCACCCAACAACTATGACTTCCATAGCATCCATTACCTCTCAATTATTTTCCAGCATCTAACATCCTGTTTGATTAGTATTCTTAGAAGAATAAATTGCAAATAATCCCCTCTTCCTCATGAAATTCGTGAATGCTAGATGCTAATAAATAAGTTGAGTGATGATCTAATGAAGTTATTAGATGCGGGACATTATTTGTATTTATCCTAATGATATTATATTCTATTTTCTATTCTATTTAAAAGTACGAGTTTGAGTAAAAATTTCTGTGTATTTGCCCTAACGATATCATACTTCCTTTAAAAGTAGGAGTTTGACTAAAACTTTCTATAGTCAATTTTAAAATCGACTCTTTTTAGATATTACATTATGATGAAGCCTAGTTAATAAAATAATCTTTAATATGATGTATTCTAATGTGATCCTATCCTAATTAAATGAGAAAACTTTCCTCGGATATAAAATTATTGATAAATAGGATAAGATCATAATTATGAACATTAATCGGGATAAAATCAATTGTGGCCTTAGTCTGGATCAGAAACAATGGAAAAATAAAAAATGAATTTAATGATGATCCATACGTGTTAATAGGTAATATATAATTTAGCTGATATTTTTCGGGTAGCGTGAGTCAGATTAAACTATTTTACAGCCACACTATAGGTTAGGCCCACATTTCATATTCCCCAATCCGTTCAAAATTAGTAGTGATAACTTGATCAGCACTCTAAACCTGAAACTACAAAAAACCACTAAAAAATCACAAATCACAACAACACTAAAAAATCATTAAAAGTTACAAAAACACATCAAAGAATTCAAAAATTACACAAACCACCTCAAAAACTAAAATTTTTATTAGCTCCATGAACAACCTGATATGGCAAAATCCTTTGATAATTTTAAAATTTACAGAAATCCCTATGAAATTTTGAAACTACAACTGCCATCCTGAGAAAATCTTTAAACTCTACAAACTACAAACAACTCTCTAGAAAAATAAAAAAAAAATTGCGAACAAGCCCAAAACTTACAAATTATCCTCATTAAAATCCAAAAATAAAAAGACATTAACTTTGGAATTGAAATCATGCAATGCTTGTGTAGCAGTTTTATGAAAATTTAGTTCTTGGTTAGAAATATTTTATTCATACTGAAATCATATTAGTTTTGTGTTTTCTACATCTTGATATATAGTTTTATGTATCCTTAAATCGATGCTTTGTATCATATGACTAATCTTCTTTTGTCAAATATGGATTTAATATGAATTTCTCATTCCATCGTGCATTTAGTATTTGACATAACATGTGCACTTTTTTATAAGGAAAACACGTCTTTTGTGCACATAATATCAACACTAACAATTACAACTACTGCGTTTCTGGCGTGCATGGGAATCGACCCCAGGCTCCCCTACTTGGGAGCGACACGCCTTTGCACATGACCTACTAGGCTGCCCCGAACATGTGCAAAAATTTACAGGTTGGAATCTTTTATATGCCTTTTAGATAGTTCTAACATTTGTAACAACATAACTAAATTCAATGCAATAACAAAGCTTGATATAAGTCTACAAAATGTTATCATTGTCTTATTATCATCAAGTAGAGATTTAAAAAATAACTTTATTTAGTGCAATGTATTGTATGGTAACTATGAACTATTTCACAAATGAGTTATAGGTGGTCATGTTTAAAATAGTTGTCTTTTTCACGTATTCAATAACCTGGAATTTAAATCTCAAACCAATACATTTTAGTAAAAACTCTTGGTGGAATGAGAAAATTTTACTTGTTTACAATGGGCCCAAAGTAGGGTCCCAAAAAGGTTACAGCTGTCTTTGGATCATTAAAAGCCCACATCGACAATATATGAGGATATCTCTTTGTTTGTCGATATGAAACAAGTCTCCTATCTAATCACATAAATGCTAAAAAAAAGAATTTGGATACTCTCTATTAAAAAAACAACTATTTTTATCGCGATCATTGATTATCTAGTGAGTGACTGTAATTTATTTTAAATGTACTACTCGCAATGTTCTAGGCATTACGTTCATTCTTAATTTGCATTAAAAATTATAATCACATACTAAATAATCAATGATTATGATAACATTGTGATCCCTCTACAAGCTTTGTCCTGCGATGGTTTATTTTAAACCTATTATATATTGTGTTTGTATCTTAACCCAACAAATTTAGTAATATATCCGGAGCAATAATTGTTATCAACACAATGGAATAATGACCACAAATATACGAAGAAAGAACATAATTTAAAGAAAAAGTAATATTGATAACATGAAAATTTAACAAGGTCCGACCATCAATATAATTACTTGCATCTTCAGAGCATACCTAGGTTACGATTACGGTAATGACAAAAATTACATCCAATTTCTGAAACCCTAATTTCACCTTCATTGTCATTTCTTATATATTTTTCTCTTATGGACAAATCAATAACAGGAATCATAATACGTATTTATATATAGGAGAGTTTTTGTCTTTCGGACTGAAAAAGTATAAAAATACTCTCACCTCATAAACCTGTAAATTTAATTTCTTTTTTCATGGATGTTATCATTTGGACACGGGACCACCTTCGATGAAACATGTCGATCCCTCACAATCAGGATACATATATTTCTATAGGGACCAACATATACTAGATCTTAGTATTATGTATTCTCCATATAAATCATGGTTTGTGAACAATAAAATTTTAAAGAAATTTGCAAAATAGACCTATTTTGCTAAATATTTAGCAAAATAGACAACTTTTTGGCCAACAGGCCGAAAAAAGATCGATTTTACAAAACATACGTGACTAGTAGTCCCGTATGATTTAATCCCCTGTTGCCCAAAAAGAAGTCTATTTTGCAAATTTTTCCTAAAATTTTCTCAATGCATGCCTGCTTTCCACCCGAAACGCGGAATAAAATATAAAGAAAAAGGAGGAAGGAATTTTTAAAAGAGTGCTGCTACGGGGACCCAAAATATGGGACCAAGGGAGGAGACAGGTGATGTGTCCCCTCCCTATTGCATAATGAGTTGGCATGGCCAACTCATTATGCAATAGGGAGGGGACACATCACCTGTCCCCTCCTTTGGTCCCATATTTTGGATCCTTAAATCATTTTCCTTTTTAAAAAGCTGCTAAGGTACCCAGGATCCTCAAAAAGGCTCTCTCTCTTAACAATACCAAAATCTTTCTTAGATTTTTCAAGGAAAGAAAGCTGCTCTTGTTTGGTCCCTTCCTCAATGTCAGCACACAAATACACGTGTACAGGCCATAAACAAATACAATACCAGCAAGAGGAGGTCAGAGCTCGTACGCGGTCGGAATTTAGTTAATCGTCCTGTAGACGGGGGGGCGCACGTGTACGCGGGTGGGTTTGGGCCGGGGGCCGGGCAGCAATCAAAGAGGCCATCCACCCACCTACCCACCCCAACACATGGGTAGTTTTATATTTGGCCCGCAGGGGAATCCAATGTTTCCTCCCTTCATTCATCACCCCCACGGAAACAAAATCAATGCTTGCAAAGTGGGGGTGTCTGTAAAAAATCATTTCCTGAAAATGCAACAAGTTTTTGTTTTTTTACCCTGGACCACATGCTGATATTGTATACCGACCGGGTACTAATTGTTGGATTTAAATCTAATTAAATCTATTTGTGGGCACGTATGGTTAATCTGTGCGTATTGCTATCCTTCAGGATGACTTACTAAAGTGATCAATTAATTTGGGTTAATGAGTATTTAAATAAATCATGGGGTTATATGTGCAGTACCATGTTGTAATTGTAATTTGATAAGGGGCCAAATTACAAATGTACAACACCTATATATATGGGGTTATGGTCCCTAATCTAGGGTTACCCACTCTCATTCTCTTATCCCCATCTAAAGAGATCTATAAGGGAGAAACCCTAAGGTTAGAAGATCATCAAAACCCTAATCATGTTTTCCTCAATGGATTCAGGTATATGCTTCCACACCTTTTGATTCTTGTTAATCTTTTTGAATTAATCATGGCTTTAAGGTTTATATCTCAAATTATTAGATCTAACACTAATTAGCTTCTACCATATAGCCTTTTACATCCTAATATTTACTTTTTTTTAAACAATAATACAAGCTTAAGGCCCTCTTTTATCTGAAGAAAATCACCTTAATTATACTGAAGTAGTTGCTTGGCTCAGAGCAACGTGACACGTTGATTCAAGAAACGATGTTAATCTTTTTCGTGTTTTTTTATCTTATCTCCTCTTGCAGCTAGTGCTTCTCCTTCTTCTAGCTCCCTCTTTCACTTCATGTATATTTTGTGTTATTTCTTTTGACTGATAAAATTACCTGGAATCTTGCCCCGA